GTCACCTGTTAAAAGTGCGGGCACAAACAGGCAATCAGACATTCCCCGAGGGGGTCCCGGATTGGAGAGGGTGCAGGCCAGACTGAGGGCCCCTTCCCACCTCCTGCACCACTGTGCATGAATTTTGTTCACCTGGCTATTAATATATATAAAACAAACAAAAAACACCCAAGTTCTGTGTCCCCCACAGCTACATTTGGGATTGCCTTCCCCACGATGTTTTTTCCCAGAACACTTAGCCCTTATCACACAGACGCCTTCTTTGATTACTGTGCTTTTTCATTCACTCTGTTTCTTCCCACACAACGTATGTCCCACAGGAAAGCAGCTTTTCTGATTTTCCTTCAATGGTCCCCACATGCAGACACACTGTCACACAACTAATATTGGTTCATGAATGGTCAGTGTAGAGCACCTCCCTGTGCTAGAGACACGTCTTCATTAATGTGGCCTCAAACCACAGCTGTCCTGTGGCAGCTACAGCACAGCAAGCTCTCACATTGTCATCAGGGCACCTGCTCTTCCCACAGAGTGGTTCTCCCTGAATCTACAGGAGACTCTGCTTCAGAAATCCCAGGGTTCCCACTGCAGCCAGCACTAGAGGGAAGGGCAGGGAGAGAGGGTGGGCGAGCAGAGCAGAATTCCAACAGGAACTTATCTAAGATGACCAATTACAGGACCCCTCCTCCTTGCTAATTCCAGGACCTGGTTCCTTGGGGAGTTTAGGAAAAGATGGAAAGAACAATCAATTCCTAAAGGGAGCCAAGAGCAGGATGAGACTGAAAATTCATCTCTCCATACCACGGACTCTTGTGTGCAGGGACCCCTGAGCCTTGTGGGCACAATGACAGACAACTCACCTCTGGCTGATGTTGGATAGGAAACACTCAAAAGAAGTAAGAGACGAAAACTCAAAACAAGAACACAAACAGGCACATTCCTCTACACCAGCGGTTCTCAGGAAGAGACCAGGGAGCCAACTGGGCACAGCCCTGACCACACTCGGTCCTCACAGCCTCTCCTGTCCCCCCTGCAGCAGCCTCAGCACAGCAAACACACAGGACTCAACAATTCTCAGTGCTTCCTTTTATTTCGTCTCAAATTTAGGATCTCCTTTAATTCATTTTTCAAAATATGTTTTTATTGATTTTCAGAGAGAGAGGAAAGAAGAGGGAGAGGCAGATGGAAACATCAATGATGACAGAGAATCATCCATTGGCTGCACTGGCATGACCCTGGTGGGAACTGAGCTGAAATCTGGGCATATGCCCTGAAAGGGAATCCAGCCATGACCTCCTGGTTCCTGGGTGGACACTCAGCCACTGAGGCACACCAGCCGGGCTGTTCTCCTTTAAGGAACCCATCACCCCTTCATGGCAACAAGTGAAGAAGAACGCATATCCAGACTCTTATTTCAATCAGGCAGTAAGAAGCTGCAGCTGAGCACACCAGGAAGTAAAAACAGGAATGGGGAGGGCCTTGCCCCACCTCTACTGGACAGGAAAGGCTGGGGAGGGGATGTGGCGGGCAGGGATAGCCCAGCCTCCCACCTCCTCACATTATGCTGATAGGAACACACGCATTCAAATACCCTTTGCAGAAAGAAATCAGAGGTTCTTTTTTTTTTTTTCTCCGTGTCTGGAATTTCTGGAAGGTCAATGGTCGGTAACCGTGAGAGGCCTCCGTGGCCCTGGGGTCCCGTGTCGGGGCAGGCGGGGCGCCTAGATGACCTTCTTCAGCTCCTCCTACAAGACCAGCACCAAGGCCCTGCCCATGCCCCTCAGGACGTTGGACCAGGAGCCCTTGAAGAATGCCTTGCTGCCCTCGTCCTTGAAGATCTTCTGTCAGCAGTGGATGGTGCCCGTGTACAGGATGTCGGCTCCTTCGAGCCCCGACTGCATCATCACCCATCGCTGTACGGTGTCAAAAGGGTAGGACACCACGGCCGTCACCGACTGGGCAATCATCCAGCTGATGAGATATGGGTGTTCTTGGGCTCAGGAAGCATGCCTTTGGCCGTGTCGTACACCTTGAAGTAGGCTGCCCGGTAGATGATCATGCCTTGCACAGAGACGCTGAAACCCTGGTACATGCCCCGGATGCCGTCCGACTTGGTGATCTGCACCAGGCAGGGTCTCAGGCCCTTGAACTGGTGCTCAGTGCCTGATTCACCTGATTTCCCCACGTCGGCTGCCAGCCGGGTCGAGGCCTGCGCGAAGTGGCCCCGCCAAGGCCAGATTGCCCGTGAAGTGCCTCCAGAACTGGGTGTGCTGTCTGCGCCCTCCCGGGAAGACCTGCTTATACTTATCCTTGAAGGTGAAGTTGAGGGCTTGGGTGGGGAAGTAGCGGATGACACTGGCAATGTTGCCCCCCCAGAAGGACAGCACGCCCTGCTCCTTGGGGATGCGCACGATGCAGTCCATGATGCCCTTGTACTGCTTGTCGGCGGTGCTCTGCTGGCTGGCATGCTGCACCTGCTACAGCAGCTTGACCCGCTCCATCCAGGCCATGCCTGTCTCGGAGATGGCGGCAGTGACGCCTCTGGCTAGGAAGTTCTTGTGGAGGCGCCCAGAGGAGCCCTGACTCAGCCCTGCAGCCGCCACCAGGACCAAAAAGACTGGGAAACTCAGAGATTCTTGAAGCACAAAGCGGGAGCGTGAACAAATCTCCCTTCACTGGGTCCACGACAAGTGCCTCAGGCTGTGGAAGAAAGTGATCATGAACAAACTCAGTTCAGTGGCTGTAGGCAGTGACATTCTCAACAGCCAACTGGAGATTCACTATGTGCCACAGAATCCCCATCACCCAGTCCTGTCCCTTTTGCCCCAATCCCTGCTATCATCAGGGTCTCACCTTTAGAAGCCGTGAGAGATACATCAGAGCCCCGGGCACCATCGCTGCCTGGGGTAGAACAAAACAGGACGGGGTCAGAGTACCCAGGAGAGGAGACTAAGGGAGGAACTATGGGGGTGAGGTCCCCTATGGGATCCAGACTGTACTATCACAGGATGTCAGGGGTCACCCTCCATACTCACTGGCAGCCTGGGCATAGCTCCCTCCTTTTCCACCTGTGGGAAGAAAACATCCCGTGAGAAGACAGGGAGGAGGCAGGGCCATGAGGTCCTAAAGGAACTCCTAGTCCTGGAGCCCAGAGAAGTTTCCAAATCTGTGACAACAGACCCAGGGCAGGATTAGGAAACTTGAAGAAACTACACGTTTAGGGACTGGACCAACCACCCTCCTGGAGGTCTGTCCTCAGCAGGGACCTTCCTCCCTGACCTCGGAGAGC